CCGGACAATTTCGCATCTCAGCTTTGGAATGCCTTAGCTTCGGACTCCCAACTTCAGAAACCATGAAAGAACTTCGGAATTTTCACTTTTGGCTCCAGAAGTGTGATTTTGACTCCGGAACCCTCGCATGTTCGCTTCTTTCTCCCGGTTTTCGACCACTTTTGCGTTTTAAGCTCGTTTTTCATGATTTTCGCGTGGGATTTTCACGTTATATTTTGACATATAAGACCATATATATTCATATTTTAATCACATTTTGGGGGAAAGCTCAACTTAAGAACAATATCTAGTGGGTGAGATATTGAGATAGAGTGTTGATCTTTCCATGAAGTATGACTCAAGTTAACCCCCATACCCACATAGGACAAACCTCAGTCACTATTCATCTATACCTAGTCAACTATTTGTCCTCTCACACCTCTCCTCCAGCTGGAATCTTGATCAAAAATTGGAAACCCCCATCTCTCCTTCCACTTTACTCACTCTCTCACCAAGAAACAAACTCTTCTCTCTCATTTCCCTCTCTAAGAACTCGAGATTACAAGGTTATTCTTGAGCATTCCCTCTAGTTTTGGTAAGTATCTTCATCCTACATTTGAATACTCTTTACTTCTTCACTCAAACCATGAATCTCTTACACAAATATCGTCATATTTGTGCCTAGAATCTTCGAATCTTCAAGCATCTCCTAAGTGTTCTTGACTTGGAAACTTCTTCTCTTCATCATTCATCTCAGAAAATAACTCAAGGTGAGTTCATACTCCTATCTTTTCATGTTTTTCTTGAGTTTTAAGGGGGGGGGATACAAGTTAAAACACCAAGAACACAACTAAACTCATCCATCAGCTTTCATCAGAAAAGTTTAACTCCATTCACGGACTGTTTTGAACATCTTAAACTTTTTAGTTTTCAAAACTGTATTAAGTGTAAGTATTTCAGGTTTATACCTTTAAAATGACTACTTGCACATGTCCATACGATTTTTCTACTATATATGGTGATTTTTACAAAACTGCCTACCACTGTAGCTACGAATTCGGACCAGTCAGGGAATATGAACGTTTTCACACCAGTTAGAAACTTTTAAAAATCATAATAAAATTTATGGACAAACTAGACACATTTTCTAAACTCTCAGAGTTTACGGATTTAGTTTTCGACTTCGTATGATTTTTCTGTGATTTTTCTAAGGCAGTGCAGAAATGTTAAAAACAAATCAACAGCTTATAACTTTGATTACACTTTGTAACATGTTGAGCAAAGTGTTAATCGTTGAGGATTTCATATTTCACATGTGTTTCTTGTTGTGGTATAATTATATAACTGAAAATACTCACTAATTTGTAAGAATCCTCCATCATTATCAATAGTACAAGACAAGGCATGATAAACATAGTTATGTTTTTGCTATACATTCGACTTACATAGAAAAAGGTTCTTTTACATTACAAACACTTATGATAAACTATGGTAAGTATAGTTTATGTTTCATTAATCAGTCAAACTCATTACCAAGGGGTTTTCAGTTCAGTTCACGTAAATCTGTTAATGAATAAATTTGTGAGACATTCGCTTCATGTTACCTTCAAAGTAACAAAGACAAAAGTACTGTAAATTGTAACCAGAATCTCTTGTAGGGAGAGCGTGATAGTTGTGTATAGATCTATATTGGGTTTGACAAACCCACACATGAGCTGCATGCAACAGCTAGACCGGCAGGTCTGGGGTGACAAGTGTCATTTAACTTGCGACGCCTGAAGAACGTCGTATTATGAGGCCGTCTGAGTCTTAGTATGGTTATAATAACTCATATGAGGTATTAACAAAACATAAGATTTACAAGTTTTACTTCAACAATTAAACGAGTTTATGTCGATTTAAACTTGCATAAATTACTTGAAGTATGGAAAAATACTTGTACATTTCGGTCTTGACTTTTAAGACTACAATGCATTTTATAAGAGAAATATTGGATTTTTCTTGAACAAACATTAATTTTACAAAGAAAAGGATTTTACATCACCTTCAAAAGCTTATGAACTCACCAACTTAATTGTTGACACTTTTTCAAAACTACTTGTATTCTCAGGAAATCAGTAAACAGGTAATCGGCCGCTTTTGAGGATGGAACGCTAAGGCGTCAAACATTGTATTTTTGTCAACATAATGTAATTGATTCAGAAACATGTAAACATATACTATGATGTAACTTTTTCAATTATATTTATGTTGGTTGTCTATACTTTGAGCACTATTATATTCGTTGTTATGATACTATACATGAAGTCCTCCACCCCCGGACGTTTCCGCCATCCCAGGTTTGGGGGTGTGACAATTAGACTGTTTGTTTTATACACTTGATGGGCCTGATCGGGGTCATTGTCATCTGACCGGGTCATCCCAAAATTATAGCTTATTGAAAAACTTCCTTTAGTTGCCCTTTACCTAAGCACATCGATCTCCTTGTTCTTGAGCAACATCTCCGGCTAAATCGCCCCTTGTCCCTGCTACGCCTCTCTTCTCTTTTCTTCCCATCCACCATGGCGACACCATATAAAAATGATGTTGAAATCAAACCTTCCCCATCTGAAATCGATTCTCACCTCAAGAAAAGACTCCACCACCGTGAAATTCAATAAGATTGAATTGTCAATTTGTTGATTCCGTTTAGAAATCAGAGGATGAGTGGCGTGCATTTCTATATCCTTGGTGACACCATTTGGAACTAATTCTAAAATCGGACCTTCCCTATTTGAAATCGATGATGATTTCACCACAAGCAAAGACTCCACCATCTTGAAATTCTCTCTCCTGAGCAATTTCATATACTGAGACAAAAAGGACCAAGTAAGTTTTTTTGTTCTTCAATATTGAAGTTTTTAGTAATTTGTTGACTTGTTCCAAAATTTTGAATCCACTTTTGAAATCACTGAGTTATTAGAATTAAATTGGAGTGTTAACAAACATCTAGGAGGACAGGAGATCTATATGACACATTCTATAACTAACTAATTATTCTTGGTGATGTTTTTATAAGTTTGATATGAAATAAAAGTTCAATACCATGAACTTTTAATAATTGAATCCATGTATTGAGTTTTTTTGGGTGCATTGAGTGCAGATGTATGGAAAGTTTAGTTGTGAATTGAATCAAGTTTTTTTTAATCAGAACTCGAGAAATTATAAAGTATTTGAATTTTAAGCGAATTAGGATTTAGGACCTTCGGTTGTATTCTCATCAATTCGATTGTCTCCAACTTGAATTTGATTAGTTCAAATTTGAAGCTTGGAAAGTTTCATGAATAATGTTGTTTTGGGAAAGTTCATGAACTGAGCTTTTTCTAAAAGGTTTAATTCTGATTTTCGTTGAATTGTAGATGGTGAAGAGGATGTCAAAACACAAGCTCAAAAGGAGAAGTGGTGAGGGTTCTGGAAATGGAATATTGTTCAAGGATATTGATGTATAGGCGGAAACATTATATTAAGATAAAACACAACCATGAGCATAAAGTCTACAATTTTGATTGCATTTTATAATTATGACAGGTTGTCTGATTATTTTGCCAATATTTTGATTGGTTTGTAGTTGTTTTTTAAGTGTAAAATACTCTGTGATCATCATCTTTTTATGCATCAAGCAGATTTCATTACTGTGACCAAGGTGTTCCAGGTATGGAGGTATTTATAAACTAATTCAAGTCTAGATTACTTTGTGAACTTTGCATTTAAAGCTTATAATATAGTGCAAATTGTAATTGATTTTCTAAAGATGTTAAGGAATTCGAAAGAGTATAGTGCATAACTGTTAGCCATGCAAACATAAAAGAAGGGTAAAATTGTCATTTTTATCATTCAACACGGTCAGTCAGACGTATAATCAAACAACGTTGTTTCAGTTACATGTAAATTCAGTCAGACTTCAGACACAATATACTATGTAAACAAAATAAATTAGTACATAAAACTATGCTAATATTACAAATTCCCATAAAAAGGGTTTCCAACCATGAGTCGGCTTCTATTTCCTCGACCCTTTTTACTATTTGCTCACCACCTTACTTTTAGTTGAATATCATAAAGCCCCCATTAAAAAAAAATTCATGATGTGTTTCATTTTATTATTGTCATCATTCTGCAAATATTGATGAATTAATATCATCATAATTTATATTATTTAAGTGCCATTAACATAAAAATACTTATTTGTTTAATATGTGACTTAAAACAAAAGTAAATGATATATTTATATTATATAATATAAGTTATTATTTCTATTACAAACGAATAGATATATCTATATCTATATATATTATATATATATATATTATATATATATATATATAATATAAGTTATTATATATATAGATGCATTGTTTCATGAAAGTAGTTTAATTAATGAATTCTTTTTTTCTGAAAAAAATAAAACTCCTGCGAATCCACGTTAATTGTTTTGATAAAGTGTTCTTAGAATATATATATATATACTATATATGTATATATATATATATATATATATATATATCTCTAGGAAATAAATAACAAATATCATACGTTTTTGATTGAAACGATGCAAAAGTCTATAAATATACACTAATTTTTAAATATAAAATGAAAATAAAATATAAATAAATAAAAAGGAACTAAAAAAAGGAATATGCAGTTAAAAAAAACGAGTTAGTAATAAAACAATTAAAAATTAAGTTTAGTAATATTAATAAAGTTAATAATAAAAAATAATTATTATATAATAAATTAAGAATGATTAGGTTATAATAAAAGTTAGTTAAATGATAATAATTACTATTATAGATTGGTGTAGTTTGGTGTGTGGAAAGTAGGACCCTTTATTATTAAAAGAAGTTATTTAGAGATGCAAATTTAACAAAAATCTCATAAAGGACCAAAGTTGGAAGATGGAAGTTAGTCGAGGGATATTTTTCCTACATACACAAAATTTGAACTTTATGATGATTTATCTATCCGTTGCCCCTTGTCCACAACTCCACCGCTTATCCGTTGCTTGCATATACAACCTCCTCACTTTTCAAAGCAATCCAGGATACTTGGAACCATGGGATCTGTTCCGTTTCAAAAGCTAATAAGCGCTTTTAATTTTCAACGGTATCAATTTTTGATTTTTTGGTAAAATTTCTGAAGTTAGCATTAATCGATTCCAATTTTGGTTTTGAATTGTTACGTTAGTAAACCCTAGTTTCAGTATGTTATCCTCTTTTATTGAGAATGGACTTTTAGGGCGCTCGAAAAATTGAAGCGATAAGATAGAAGATGGTTTGATTAGAAGAAGAAATTATGAGGATTTAGTTTACTATCTAGTGGTTATTATATTGTTGGAGCGTAAAACCCAAAGCTGTTAAGTAATAAACATATTGGAGGCGATGACTTCAAAGCCCAAACATTGCATTCTTTATGTTAAAAAGGAACCTCCTTGACAAGTATCTTTGTGGTTCACGGCTAGAAGTTGAGTATTGCGACTCATTTTTTGTGTTTGACGGCTGTGATTATGATTGTAAATTATTCCTTACTTATTATCAAGTAACAAAATGATTTTGATCATTTCCAAAACGTACATCCAGACACCAGCTTTGAGCGTTTTAGAGGTGTTGGCATATTTGATATTATATATAGACTTTGGTAGTTTAAATTCCTAATCACCATGTCTAATCGCTTCTGTGAAGTCAAATTGTTGCTTCTAAGAAGGAGAAGGGAACTCATGTAAACTGTCAGTACTGAATAAGTTGTTATACAATGATAATGATCATATCTAACAGGCATTACGTGTAATCAGTTAATTTTAAATTCATCATGAGAAGTAAGAAATGTGAAATGACAGTTAAACTGGAAAATATATACGAAATCATACTAGTTGACTCTATGTTGATTGATAAGCTTAAAATCTCAGCCATCATTGTGTCGTGTCTTGTCTAGAACACAGTTTGTTGAGACCTGGTCATGTAACCCAAAACTCAAGCGGAGAATTAGCAACAAGCAAAATGATTCCAAGAAGGCTGGTTTTGCATATGATACCTCTGAATTTTTGTCTCCATGCTGAAGCCCTGGAGATGAAGGAGCCTGAGGTTATTAGGTATGAAATGGGTTTGTTTAAGCTTTGATTGGTCAGCTATTAATTTGTGTTTGAATTTCAGGAGTCAAAAGCTTGATAGTGGAGTCCGAATACAAGGTGATTTCTGATTTTACCAGCTTGCTGAGATTTCAGAATAGAAAGATATGTGGTTTGATTTAAGTGATCCTTTAGATATCGTTGATGGTGAAGGGGAAGAGGCTCATGAAGGGGATTTTGTTGAAGTCAATTATGTTTGTCGTCGGTCAAACGGATATTTTGTACACAGGTGAGGTGAGGTTGGAGGTATATATTAATTGTATAATTTCCTTTGAAATTAAATAAGTTGAATCATTTCCTCATTCAAATTTGCAGCACCGTGGATCAATTTAGTGGTGAAACTTCCCCAGTTGTACTTCCTCTGAATGAAAAAGAGGTATCTGTTTATAATAAATTTTGTATGTTGAAAGCTCAAAGTAGTAAAATGGAAGTGAATTTGACAGATTATAAAGGGTTTGAAGGAAGTGATAATTGGAATGAAGGTTGGAGGTATGTATGTATTCCATATTTGTTAAATTTATATATATATATATATATATATATATATATATATATATGTGTGTGTGTGTGTGTGTGTGTGTGTGTGTGTGTGTCTTGTTTGTTGTAATGATGGAGAAATGTAGATATATAATTCCAAGGGTTTTGAATTTGATCACAACTAAATTTTACATTAATTATGTCAGGGAAGAGAAGGGCATTGATACCTCCAAGTCTTGGCTATGTTAACGAGACATTGGGACCTATTCCAGACGAGGTTTGCTCAATCAAATGAAAATACATACATAAAAATTAAACTAACTAACTTGAATAGTTGAATTTAAGTAATCATTTTTATGGTATTTGTTGCAGTTTGGTCCTCGGCGAAGCCTTTTGTCTCATGTAAAGGAGCCCTTGTTATTTGAGGTGCAGCTCCTCAAGGTTTTATGAATCAATGTTCATATTCATAGTGATCGACTTGGAGTTGGAGGGCTATATTAATTTGTTGTTCATTATTAGCCGAATGAATTGGTGTATTTTCTTACATATATATATTTTATTTTATTGGAGTGAAATAATTGTGCTTAAATTGCCTTTCCTTTCTTTTAATAAACGAGTCCACCAGCTGCCCTAGTCCCTAGGTAGATGAGGTCCTCCCCTGCCCTTTCTTTTAGTTTTAGAATTTAGAGCCTGAAACATATTAATACAATCATGCCAATATTCAATGGCTATCATTAATTTTCATACATTAACTTCTCTTAAACCTACGTCCCAACAACACCTGCACATTCCCGGTCTCCGGTTGGTCTCTTAGCAAGCTCCAACCCTTTCAGGGCTGGCCTCATCTTTTTCGGTTCAATTTTTTATTTATTTATTTATTTTTTCATTTAGCAAATGAGTGATTAATACCAAAGTAATACATTAAGATTTAATAAAAGAAAGAAAAGAAAAAGTTGGGTAATATGTGATTTACACAAATTTTTTATATGTATATAAACTTGGGCTTTATGTGATCAATCTTGGGTAAGTTTTGGAATTGCCATAACTCATTTTTGGGGTGAGTTTGGTTGTTTTTAGGATCAATCTCATTCTGGATCGGTTTGAAATCAGATTTTTTTTTCAAGAACGAGCCGTTTTGTTCATGTATTGTCCCAACCAAGAACATAAAAAAGAGGGTAAGTTGATTTCTCTTAAAGGTCCACGTGAACTCGCACCATGGCCCACGGTTTTATCCTTGAAACTCATTTGTGGAATTTAGTTCCTCAACCACTAAGTTAAAGAAAAAGAAAATTATTTCGAGGCCAATCGTGTTGATGGCCAAGTTTTTTTTCTTTTTCTTTTCTCTTCTGTGTCAATGTTCGAGCTTTTTTCTTTAACCTAAATCTTTTCCAAACGGTTGCGATTCTTTTTCTTGTATGATTTTTGAAAATCATTTTGCACGTGGAGGGAGGGAAGAACAAGTGAGATGTATTTTTTTAGAGACCATGGCAATTTCATCATTCATATTAAAAATTGTTAATTGAGGTGTTGATATATTATAATATTCATAATGTATCAAGTAAGAAATATAAAGAGTTAAGTATAAAACAGGGAAAATAGGTTGAAAGTTGTTTAAAGTTTGCAAACCCGTAATTCATTTCGTTTCACTTTAAAGCAAGTTAAATGCATGTGAAAATAATATATTTTGGAAATAAAACTTGAACTTCTCTTTTTTTTTTTTTTTTGAACGGCAAAATTATATAAAAGAGGCCCCAACTAGCAAGTGACTAGGAGGGGACCAAGAAGCAACAGATACATATTGTCATGACATACAGTTTACAAAAGAAAAGAAAAAGGAACATGATCATAAACAGCAAAATGGAGAAGACATCCAATCTCCCCACCTACATAGTCCACCATTTCCCCTGCTCCTTATCCAAAAATGAACCAGAGATTTGATATTTTCAGCACCTCTCTTGGAACACATCATCTTTTGATTGAATATGCGATCATTACGATACTTCCATAAACTCCAAATGAGTCCATAAAAGATAATC